GATTTTAACAGATTTAACAGATTTAACTGAAACTTTGCACATTTAACAAGAACCGATGACAATACAATAATTTATTTAAAAAAACTAAAAGAACACACGTGTGTAGCAGATCAAACTAAAAAATGGATAGTAAATATATGATAAAAATAAAAAACCCGATTGCATAAAGCTAACTAAAAACAAGTTCACAATGGAATACAGTATTATGCAGTCGGAGACATACATATTTCACCCTTGCCGCAAGATGTACATACTCATATATACATCGTGTTTTTTATTTTTATATCATATTTATTTATTTACAACTTTTAAAGTATTTTTAAGTAGGAAAATAGCGAGAAAGGTTGTTGACCAACTTTAAATCATTATATGTCCTAAACTATTATTTAATATGAAAAATGATGAAAGAAATCTAAAAATGATTTTTAAATACTTACTCAACGATACCCCACTTGACATAGCTCGTCGATTTTCATTTTTTTTATGTCACATATCTAAAAACACTTGGACCAATGAGACGAATCTAACCATACCTTAATTAAATAAATCCATCGAGTGGTTTGGAAGATATGAGGGAATAAAGAATATTATTCAAATTCAAAATATTTTATTCAGCATTAAATTATTAAATTTTTTTACTGAACGTCATGAGTCTACTACCAGTTCGGAAAGAAGAAGCCTCAGACCTGAGGAGAACTGGCGAAAGAAACTCAGCGGGACTAATATTATTTCATTATCTTTTTGTTAAATTATAAATTACAATATTTCTATAAAATTGAAGTAGCCTGGAGGCGATCACTTCATTCTCAAGGTGTGCCATCTTTTATAAAATCATTTATTGTATAATAGCCTTTAGCACACAAACGTTCTTTAAAAATTCTTTTGAATTTGGCGATAGAAGCTTTTTGTACATTTTCTGGGATCCTGTTGTACAAGCGTATACATTGTCCATAAAAAGAATTACTGACTCTGTGTAGACGAGTCACAGGCATTACAAGTTTGTGTTTGCTCCTAGTATTAATGTTATGGATGTCACACTTCTTGGGAAATTCTTTTATATTTTCACGAACATACATAAAATTTTCGTACACGTACTGAGAAGCAAGATTCAATATTTTTATTTCCTTAAACTTATCTTTTAATGACACTCTAGAACCTAAGCTATAAATTGCACGAACAGCTATTTTGTGCAGGACAAAAATCTTACTTAATATTATTCGTATTCAAAGTAGGATACCATAGGAGAAGGAATTTTTTTTAAATACACCTTGTATTTAAAACAAAATTATAAGTTAAAAATGGTTTATTGTATACAACAAAAACGTTGCCGCATCGATTTATGTTAGAAAACAAGTTTATTTCAAAAAGTAGCTACGCTTAATAAATTTTAGGTAAACCATACTTACAAAATTAATTAGGCATTCGTCTTTTGAATATCAACTTACATTTCAACAATTCAATTGAAATACGAGACATTAAAATGAAAATTTGGCAGCATTTTGTTATTCTGACAGTAAATTTGATCATCCATCTTTAGAATATTATTTTATTACGTCGAGAAAGTTTACGAATTTAAACGAGAAAGTATCATTTCATAATAAAATAATAAATTGGCAATTTAAACAAACAGCTTAAGAAAGTACTAAGTTGAATTAATATGACATTAATTTGTGTGATGAACACAAATGTTTGTACTCCAGTCATGGGTATTTATATTTATAATATGTATGTATTTAAAGTTATATATGTGTAGTGTATCAACTATCTGGTATCCATAACACAAGCCTCATAACTTAGCATGGGACTAGATGATGCTGTGTTATAATGTCCCAATATAATTTTATAATATACTGGTATTCGCCTAGTGGTCGATAAACGTGTAAATGTATGTTTGTTACTTCTTTACACAGAAAGGGCTGGAAGGATTTTGATTTTTAGTACACAGATAAACTTATGACCTGAAATACTTTTTTAGAGCTAAACAAATATTTGACATTTTAAAGAAAACTAATTTTTCGATTTTTGTTACAGATTTATTTTGATTTTTGATAAAAAATGTTTTTTGTATTTAATTATTATTTAAAATACGTTTTAGTTACGCTTATTCCGTAAACTTATTATAAAATTATCATTAACATAATTCTTCGATAAGGAAATTAGGGAGAAAATTTAAAATCATGTAACTTTAAGAGCCTTAAAGCTTAAAGCCTCCCTGTAACGATTACAACTATACCACAAACAACCCTAAAAGTGACCGAACTGATAAGAGCAAATCGGTTAACCCATAACTTTAGCACTAAATAGTTATGACTATGATAAACCTTCATTAACAATAATTTTTAATTAAGTATGACGTAGGTACACTGATTCTGTAATATCCCATACTGAGGAGTGTTCTTATAGATGTTGATGCTGTAACGCTTTGTTGTAACTTGGTAATAAAATAAAATTACGAAAATACACATTTAAATTACGTTGCCCCTCATTCTTGAACGTTGGTAAAAATAATTTATTTAATATTTGATATTAATATACAAAAAGTTTATTTATATTCAAAATATACATTCTATAAGCCATCCTACTTGCTGTGCCAACGGTTGCGTGTTCGAGTCCCGCTGGGGGTATTCATTTGTGTGATGAGCACGATTGTTAATACTCCAGTCATGGACGTTTATATTTATAATATGTATGTATTTATATATGTATCGTGCATTAACTATCTGGTATCCATAACACAAGCGTCATAGCTTACCATGGAACTAGATGGTGATGTGCTAATGTCCTAACATTTTTATTTATTTATTCTATATAAAGGATAGAATAAGATAGTAAAACGACAATATAACTTTATTTTAGTTGAATAATAATGATGAGTACATGATTTTAGTATTTTAATTGAATTTATAAGATCTGTCTCCAGTATTTGATTTGGCGACTTAGAATTCAACTCAGCGCTGGCTAGCTTTAATTAGATCTCATTCGAATTTTAAGCACAGGTAGAACTAAGTTTCATCCTAGGACTTAGAATGTCTAGACTGAAATAATTTTCTTATTTCTGAATCTTCATTATATTAATTTGTACCTTAACAAATCGGAATCATTTTGCAGATAATATTATTATATTTTCATTATATATATATATATATATATATATATATATATATATATATATATATATATATATGAAACGAAATCAACTGGACCAATTTTTATATTAGATTTTTTGGATTTCACTTAGTCCGGAATAGGATAATAAGTATTAAAACATCAGAAAAATGAACCCGAGCGAAGCGAGGGTGAGCCGCTAGTGTATAAATGAAAATTTATATACACCATAAAAATAACATTAGAAAAATGCTAGTCTGATTTGGATACCGAGGGCCCTGTAGCAAACGTTAAATATTTACTCGCAGTTATTGGCATGAACAAAAAAGTAGCTTAGAAAAATCTATCCCAATTTTAAAGAGTTATGTGAAATTACTCAAAATTTTTATGCATCCTCAAATTCATTTTTTTCTCTAGCGGTTGACATGAGACACCTACGTCTATTTAACATAGTCATGTCACCAATATTGTCTGAGTAAAATAGCTGTGACATACAGACATTTTTTCGTTTAGGCTACGGAACCCTAAAAACAAACTTGCAAAAACTTCCATAATAGACTTCACCGAATCATAATAAAATTCATTTCAAAATCTAAATATCTAGGAGTATAGTTTAAATGGATTCATATTTAAATGATTGTAAATCGCTTTACTGGCGCTAATTTTATGTAAGCGCGGTCGTCGCTGACCAAACAATGGGCTTTGATTTTGATTGGAAATGGGTGCAAATTGCGAAAATAGTTTTCTAGTAAGCACTATTTTAATTTAAAAACTGAATTGAAGGGTTAATTTGAATTTAAAGTTTAATTTGAGATTTTTCCTTAGGGATCGTCAGAGAGATGAAAGAAGTTTTTGTATTAGCTCATACATACACACACACTAAGTGCCTAATATTTTTACTAATATTATAAATGTTGTGAGTATGGATGTTTGTTACTCTTTCACGCCAGAACGGCTTAACGATCTGGATGAAATTTGGCACAGAGATAGATTATAGTCTGAAATAACACATAGGCTAGTTTTTATTCCTTCATATTCTGAAACAGCCTCACTTGGTTTTTTTAAGCGAGCATGTTGCTCTGGCCAAAAATTACAATTATTATATGAATAATTCCCCTTCCTTCCGGACCCCTGTAGCAGTGCCCAAAAATAATTTACATATCAGAATGCCTTACAAAACACAGAAATTATACTATCTTGCGGTGATCTCAACATCGATATTATCACAATAATAGTAAAAATTTGATTTAAAATAGCAAAATTAGACAATTTTAACATCACTATTAGTGCTATAGTACTAGAGTATTAATGTCATGTAGGAAATAATCATCTCGAAACCATTGCGATGTGTATTCAAACTTCATTATTGGATGCAATAATCTGATGTTTAGTGGTTTTTGATAGATATTTTTGTATGACACAATATGATGGGTTTTACTGGATGGGTTTGATAGGGTTGATTGCTTTTTGGCTACTGAACCCTAAAAACTATAAATACTCTTTTTTTAATATTAAATAATGTATATAGTAAGTTTAATATTAAAATTTAAGTCTCACGGACACTAATTGACAAAAGGTTTTATTTATGTACATTAGTTTTCAGACGAGACAACATTTATTTAAAAAATATATTTAATAATAATGTAAATATTATATACATAATTAATATATATAATAAATATCAATAGAGGGCGGTACCGTTGAGTTTTAGTGGGTAGTATCAGCTTCTCTAGCCGGCGCGTCCCACATAACCACCTGTATGTATGCAGGTGGTATGCGTAAAAAGATTCCCAAAATGAAAAAGGTTATTACTGAAAAAAAATATATACTTTTTCTATTATTTTTTATTATGACATCCCGAAAAAAGTCTGCAATTTAATTTCAATATTCTTTTACTCTTCTTCTGCAACTTCATTTGCTATACAAGGATTGCTTATTTGAATTCTTCCATCCAAATCTTTTATAAGAGGAGACTGGCGCCTCAAGTACTGCATTAGTACGACGTTGTCAACGCCTACGACTTCCACGTTTCTACGGTTTTCAGAAATCATCTGGAAAAAATAATTATTTTGATTAATTACATTTTACGAAAAAATCTAATATATATATAAATCTCGTGTCACGGTGTTTGTGGTCGCATTACTCCGAAGCGGCTCAGCTAATTTTAATATATATTTTTTTGTAAATTTGGTAGGTATGAGGTCGTAAAGTATTTTTCACCCCCCTACCCCCACCCCCATTTTTTTATCGCGATTTTAGTATTTGCTTATGAACAATATTATGTATACTATAAAAATACATAGTGACGAATCCGAGTGAAGCGAGGGTGAGACCCTGTATAATATTTTTTCGTAGATCGAACGCGAGCGTAGCCGCGGGCTCTGCTAGTAATCTATAAAATACTGTAGCTTTTTTTATGGAATGCGCTTTAATCTCTGTAATTACCAATGCGATTAGGAAACTTCTCTTTGCATTATATTACATATTAGTTAAGGCTGGATTCCATAGTCAAGAGCGCAGTAATCTCATATAGTAAGTATAAAAACTTTAAAAAAAAACCGACTTCCAGGCACTAAAATGTGAAAAATAACTAAACGGAGGTTTTCATTTAGAATAGATACATAATCAGATATTTTCGAAGTCGGTGCCAGCCGATGCAAAGCAAATCTAATATATTTCGATACGTAAAATACATATTTACCTATTAGATATTCATATCTTAAAATATTGTAGGCTGATGAATCAATTTATGACAAAAAGACAATATTATAATTACAAATCTAATTTTAATCATTGTATGTAAATGTACCACCAAATATAGAATGGACTTTTTAAAGTAGGAAGACACCATAAAACTAAGTCTTTATTCTTCTTAACTAAGAAGAATAAAGACTAAGTCTTATTAACTAAGATTTATTGTCTGGATTTTTTTCTATTGTCAATTTATACCGTCTGTATATGCTTCACCCGGTTTTCAGTACGGGATAGGGAGATTTCTTAGTGATTTTTCAATACCTTTACGTTTCCCACAAGTTTCGAGATAGTGCGGTCGTTTGTCTTAATCAGACTCGGTCAAATATATGTCTGATCAATGCAAGCTATAAAATAGGAGTTGAACGAGAAAATTCCTACTAGCAACGTTAATTTTAGTTAGAAAAATACTTGTAAAATATCCATTGAAAGAACGTTTCTTCTGATATTTTCTACTAGTGATCGTCCCGTAGTTGAAAAACGAGTATAATTCATTAAATTAAAAGTTCTTTTGTCAAAGTTACTGTAACATCAGTAGCATGTAACTTTCCTTATTAATAATAATATCTTCCCGACCGATTCCGGCCACGGCGGCCAATCTCATTGAGACTAGCCAACTACGCAGGAGATATTATAGTGCAGCGCGTGTACACGCAGACACAACGTGCACTCTCTATTCCTGTCACTCTCTTACTCTGTGGTCACTCTCATACCGTGTGTGTCTCTCGTACATACGAGACACGACCAGTGAGAGTTAAGGCGCAGGACCGACGGCTTTACGTCCTCTCAGGGCGTGAGGATGAAACACCGCCAACTTCCCAACTCCGGGGTCGAGGCTTACTAAGCAGAATGACTCAATAACTAAACTTGACCAGACCCGGGAATCAAACACAAAGAGCACTTGCAGACAAACAAAAAAATCCTTCAGCTTTATATCATATTATTTTAAAACTCATGTAGACTATCTAACACCAAGATTACATTAAACTATTAGAAGCTGACAAATTATCCATAAAAACTACGCTTTATACAGTTTTTTATTACATTTAAACTAGTTTAAATGTAATTTAGCTAGTAGAATAAACTAACTATAGCAACGCTCATGCTTGTCCTTGTAAACGTAATATGCTTAAAAAGAGTACAAAGTTCTCTATTCACGTATTAATATTTAGATATTTAAGTTCAATATTCGTAAAAGCCCATTTTAAATATAAATAAACAAAGTAAAAAGCTTTAAAAATATATAACAGTGTTTATACAATCGGAACATATCAAACAGTGGTTACGTTAATTTTCCGTCTCTTGAATAAAGCATAAATTGTGTCCGAAATGTAGATTCCATGAATCGCTTCTACACATCGGTTCATTAAATTCTACCGAATACCCGTTAACATCTACCCGGGATAGTTTAACTAGGTTAACCATAACTTCTGAAAATATCTTAATTATAAATAAATATATTATTTTCTTAGATTTGCCTATATTATGATGATAAATTATAGTGATATTTTTTAAATTATTATATGACGACGTACAGACGACGTACTTGCTGTGGCAGCGTTCGCGGGTTCGAGTCCCGCTGGGAGCATTCATTTGTGTTTGGGCATTTGTACTCCAGTCATGGAAGTTTATATTTATATTATGTATGTATTTAAAGTTATATATGCAGGTATAGAGTATCAACTGTCTGGTATCGATAACACAATCCTCATAGCTTACCATGAAGCTAGATGGTGCTGTGTGTGTGTCCCAACATATTTATTTATGGATATTATACTTTACTGATTTATATTAAATACCTATTATAATATAAATGTGACAGTTTGTATGTGTGTATGTGTGTGTGTATATTTTAGGACTTATCGTGGGATAACTGGGACTCGTGATAGCGGAAAAGTAGTATTTTATTTGGTATGGCGGGTACGAAATTTTATTCTGAGACATCAGAGCTGGCATTTATTCCCTTTTGTTATACAAAATGTTCATATACATACATTTACAATATATTCGACGCCAAATCCAAAACAACTATTTTCACATGTACTTCGGGTAAGGACTGAGTCGATTAGATTTGATATAGAACTTTTTAAACCAAAAAACTTTTGTTTTTTCGTAATTAGTGAACGATAAAAAGTTAGCACGCCAGTAAATTTTCTGGCAACCACTTTTTTACTTTTATCTCTACCAAAAGTCTATTAAGTACGTGAAATAATAAAATTCGGACAGTCTCTTGAAATTAAAAAATCATATAAAACCTACTTTTAACGTTATATTTGACGGTAAATTTGATTCGGGATTGGTTCCTCTTTAACCCCATTACTGTAGTGTTCCGTATTGAAATAACGCTCAGCGACCGCAAACCTACAAGTATAGACTATTGAATTTAGCTGTTGAATAGATTTAAGGGTTAAACCATTCGGTACCCTTGTTTAAATGGGAAGAAGCATAATATTATGTTTGAATAAAATTGTGTTGAATAATTGTGCTTTTTAAAGTTAGTTCTTATTGGATTTCAGTGTAGTAATATTTTTATATAACAAAAAATCTTAAATATTGGATTTAATTAAATTTAAGCTTTTAATAAGCTTATATAAGAATTTAACAAAAATAAGCTTAGTTATATAAGGTTGCCTGGAAGAGATTGCTTCTAGCGATAAGGCCGCTTGCTGAGCATCTTTTTTTTTTGTTATATATTTCACTTCTTTATATATTTCTTGTGTGGTGCGCAATAAAGTGTTCATTATTATTATTATTATATCCCAACTATACTAGTAGGTATTATAAAATTAAAGAGCTTATTTAATTTTTTTATTATAATTATAATATTTGACAAAAAATATTCTTGTATTTTATTACTTATTTATTGTTTAAGTTTGTAAGCTTTATCGATGTAGTTTACATATACCTATGTATACTCACGCTACGGTTGTTTGGAGCGAATTAATGTATTCATATATAAAATTGTAACGAGGCGAAATCTGTGCATGAAATATATTTTAAAAACACAGTGACTGTTACATATTTTGTATAGAATAAGTATATAGACTTTTGGTCTATATACCTATTCTATACAAAACTATTGTTCTATAGTATTGTTTTCAAGAGTTGTTGAAATTTTTGTCTGTTTGTCTGTATGCCTATGTGCGTTTCACGCAAAAAGTATTTACCGGATTTTAACTAAATTTTGTGTAGTGACTAGCGGCTCACTCTCTCTTGGCTTGGGTTCGCAAGGAGTTCGCAAGTTTGAAAAGCACAAACAGATCTATCCCACAGGAACCGTTCATTTTTCCAGGATGAAAAGTAACCTGTTGTTTGATCGGCAATATAAGGTATCAGCATGCCAAATTTTACTAAATTAGGTGCATAAGTTGTGGTATTGTACTAAGCTGTATATGTTACTATAGCTTTTTAACTAACCCACGAGAACTCTTTAATTTTCCAGGGTGAAATGTATCTAAAATTTTGACCGGGGATATAAGGTACCACCATGCGAAATTTCATTTAAATCTATTGAACAGTTTCGGAGATTAGCCCGTACAAACAGAAAAACAGACAGAGAAACAAAAAAAATTGAAAAACATCTGGATTAGTTCTACGAGTATTTCTCTCCTTACATCCCCCTAACTTGGTTTTTAGCATTTTTCTACTATGTACAGGGATTCTACTTCTACAGTTTTATTATATGTAGAGATAATTTATTATTTGGGTCATCATTTATGATATCTTTTACTGCAGGAAAATCTTTCATTCTCATGAGAAAACACAATGACTGTTTCATCGAGTCGTCCTTTGAAATTTACATGGCTTACTCTGGCTAAACTTAAACTTAAATATATATATATATATATATATATATATATATATATATATAAACATTGTACAAGAAAATTGTAGTATTTTAAAAAGACCTACGGAAAATTTCGCAATAGAATATTACGATGGCTTACTATTACAAGGTTCTATGTTAATTTTAATGAAGTTTAGTAATTTTTACATAGAACTTCATTATTTTGTTATCGTAAAATAACAACATAAAACTTTGTAAAATTGAATACTTTGTAGTTAAAGTGCCGCTATCTAGTGGTTTGTTATTGCAAAACTGTAGTTAATGACACATAGAACCTTGTAGCATTAATAACTAAATAAGTACTAAAATTGTTATATAGAACCTTGTAATAGTGAGCCAACGATTAATGTCTATCTCCTAAGGTACACTCGCAATAAGTATTTTAATCTATTTAAAATGTACATACCTGTGAATTGATCGATAACTAAAAGGTAATAATATGGACAAAGTTCCACGCAGAAATATATAAACGTTATAATTCAAATTATAACGTTTTGTTAGAAAAATCTATTTAACTTACAGTATAACCTCCTCCACCATTTGCAATAAAGTCCTGAGATACAACTTTATAATATCGGTCAGTTTCCAGTGGTAAATATCTAGGTACGTCACATTCTATACAACGTATTGTTACATTTAGTACTCGATTGCCTAATGGCTTCGAACCATCGTATACTACTCGGAGACCTGAAATTGCATAGATAGAAATAGCACTATTTTATCAAACTAGCAGCATCCTCTTGCTCTTCTCTAATAATTTAGAAATTGGGTACCTTTTTGTTAAATATATCCAATAATATACTTTAGTGAATATCCTGCTAATATTATTAACGCGAATGTTTGTGAGAATGGATAGTTGGATGGATGGATGTTTGTTACTATTTCATGCAAAAACTACTGAACAGATTTTGATGAACTATAAAAACTGGTAAATAAATATAATGAAATTTTAAAAATTTGAATATAAGTAATTGCTCGAAAAAGAAAGCGTTTAATTATTTTTTTAAGTTTTCTTAGTATTGCTGATTATAAAGATAGATTAAGTGATTTGTGTAACAGATAAAAATGACTCAAGCCCTGAAAAAGCAAATTGAGCAACAAATTAACAAAATTTAGTTACATTTAAGCAAAACAATGAAAAATTTCGTCAAAAGAGTACGGGCGTCCAAGCTGAACCGTGTAACTCTATATGCATTCCATACATAATCAGCAAAATCATTACTAATTTTAACTAAAACCATGTGTTTTCTTTTAAAATTTCTTACATATTAGTCTTGGGATAAACTATAAAAAAATTCAGGAACTAATTATATGCTATGACATTGTATATAATTTTACTTATTATATTTTAATTAAAATTGTAACTTATGTAACATGTGTTTTTGAAAATCAAGTTCACTTTGATCACCTCCTGGTTTCATATTTATGGCCCCTCCATTTACATACATGAATACCATTTTGTTGTAACTAAACTGGATGCTAACAAATACTTGAAAATTAGGTTAGAAATTATGAAACATAACGAAAACGTTAAATGATCACTCTTTAAGTAAAAAATACACGGACTTCAAATAGCTTTTTGGATATTTTTCTTTCAAATTAACCATGAATTATAACTTTTTTTATTATTTTAAAAATATACCACATTAGTTTATAATAATTGGAAAATATGTCATGAAATATACGCAATCCAAATTAAGTATTTACCGCGTCCTCCTCTTTTGGAATCGGTCAAATAAGTTTAATTCAACTATTTGGTATCCATAACACAAGCCTCGTAGCTTACCATGGAACTAGATGGTGCTGTGTGTTAATGTCCCAACATATTCATTTATTTTTTAAGTGAAATAACAGCTAAAATAACTGAATTAAATTCACTATAATACACTTTAAAGCTTATACTGTGCAGAAATAGTGCTTGTGATCGATCGAAAATATTTATTATACTAAATAATTGTGATACTGCATTCATTTATCTATTATTTTTCAAACTTATCAATGCAGGTCAGAAGTTATGGTTATGTGTCACACATGAGCTGCATGAATAAAATGGGCTATTTGGGAAACAAATTTTACTTGTCATTCGGAATTTTATCGCAATTTATTTTACTTATAAAATTCTATTCGATCTACATTTTAGTACTGTAGTAACGTTAAAATAAAATTATGTCCAATAATAAATAATATTTTACGTCCAATATTGCTAGTGCGTTACGTAAAAACAAATAACTTAAATATTTTTAAATACTTTAACATTTTTTTTCCAGTAAGACAAAAATGCCATAAAAACTACCAGCAATATCAGAAAGAGCCAATAAATAGTGGCTAAATTTGTAAAATTACATAAATTAAGGACAATTTAGTAAGACAAAAATATTCAGAAATATCGAATCAAGGTGTTGAGTGCTATTAAGACAAACCTGTGAGTTGATTTATCCACGAAAATTATAGAAGCTCGATTAGAAAGACTGCAGACATTGTATAAATGCATAGAGATTTAAATGCACTACGTTTTATTTATTCTTGTAACTTTTAGGGTTTTGTACGCGAAGGGTACCAACGGGACCCTATTACTAAGCCTCCGCTGTCCGTCCGACTGTCAGGGGGCTGTATCTCATGAACTGTATTAGGTAGAGAGTTTAAATTTTCACAGAGTATGTATTTCAATTTTTTTAACGTTCGTAATCGATCATCGAGACAAACATAGAGTAAAAGTCATACTAATAAAAAGTTCACGTACAATGGTAAGGAGCCCTTCGTGTGCGAATTCGACTCGCACTTGACCAATTTTTATTATAATTTATGGACAAAAATTATAATTCTTAGGACTTAACTAAATAAAGACTTTTAAAATTATAATGTATCAGAGTAAAAAATATATGAATGGAAATGCTATAAGAAAGCTATCATCATTCTGAGAGCTTTTTCTTAACTTTTCGTCAGAACTTTACATAAACACAATGAAAACGTGAACTTAGCTTGAGTTTGCCAAAAAAATCTATAATAAAGATAATTACAATGCAAATGAAGCTATAGAAGAAGTAATGCACAGTTCACAGACGAGAAATATTCGTTTTTACCCCATTTTCATTATTTCAAGTCAACATTGAAGCAATATCGGTTAAATTATGGATACAATATTATGCTAATAACTAAGCTCAGGAGAATACTTCAATCATAATAGTATTTCTCGCCAAAGTTATCTTACTCGTATAATTGTTTCATAAAGTCGTAAATGCTAGTAAAAGACTACCCTGAAGTAATATTAAGAACTCATCAAGATCGTCTCGTATATGAAGTAGTTTTAATTATGCTGTTTAATATAAAGGTTGATTTAATTAACAGGTGCACGTTTGTTGTTAACCGAAGTGAACTCAATATCTTGACATCATTTAGAAGCCTTAATAATGAAAATATTACTGGTTTATAGAAAATACTTTAAGTTTATTCAAAAAATATAATCTATACATATGTATAATAAAATTCTGAGTCGAATCTGTACATTAAATATTTTTTGGAAAATCTTATTGAAATAGTCATTATTATCGATACAGAGGCCGAATTTACAGTTTTTAGAATTTTTGTTTGTCTGTCTGTCTGTCTGTTACCGCATCACGAGAAAAGCACTGGACAGATTTTGATGAAACTTTTTACCGCGGGAAAATGTCTAATTTCTCAGAAAAAATACAAAAACTGCAATGTAAGAGTATACTAATATGTAAAACCTAAGAATTTAGTTTTTGGTCATCTGAACGCGGGCGGAGCCGCGGGCAATGCTAGTTTAGGGAATATAAAGCGAGTCATTATTATTCTATAATAATGAGTTAATTATGATGTTATAACGCTTTATACCATTGTTAATTAATTTGAATTAATTTACCACTTATGATTAATAAGTACATAGTTGAAGCCGATGAAGGACATAAATTAATATAATAATATATAATATTGTAAATAATAATACATAATAAACTAACAGAGGTAATAGAATCTCAGTGGTAACGCAATCGCTTGGGAAACCTTGTGGAACCAGATTCATATACTGGGTCTCGTACTTCTGATATTTTCATGTGCGAATCATTTCTAAGAAGATTAGATTATTACGATTAACAAAAACATCGTTAGGAAACCTGTATGTCTGAGAGAACCTAACAAGTTTTCAAAAGACATGTGAAGTCCACCAACCCGCCTTTGGCCAGCGTGGTGGGCGGACTATGACTTGATCGTATTGGGAGGCCCCTGCTCAGCAGTGGGACGTTAAAAAAGAGCAAACAATTGCTATAAACTAAGTAATATTACATAATATTATTCGGTTACGCTCATATTTTCGCTCGTCTCCGTATGTTCATTTGGAACATCAATAAGATTATTGTAACCTATATGTTAATGCAGAATTCGTACGTATACGTAATAAATCTCTATTCCCAAGTAGAATCCGACACCATTAAAGCGCGAAGAAATAACAAATCTATTCATACTCAAACTGTTCAGTGTTCGTATTTATATAAATATTAGTGTAATGTTAATAATATATTTACTGCTTTAATAATATTATTATGTTTATTTATGTTATCAGCCAATTTTTATTTACCGATAAAGAAGTTCCTACATGGCGTACAAAAAATTGCTAGGTCTAGTATGAGATGAAAGAGTTTATCCTAGGTTTAAGGTTCTCCCCCTCCCCTCCCCCTCCCACCAACGTGCGTTTAGCTTGTCGTAGTGAGGGGGCTCAGTAGTGCCCGGCAATACAGCCGGGCGCGAAACTAAGAAACGCACAGGGAGGTGGCCTACTTCGGTGTGCGTTGTACCATGTGGGTTGCTCTTGGTACTTCTCTGCTCGCAGAGTAGTGGACTGTGGAGTAACCCCATGGTTACTGTGGTCTGCTTCGGTAGATTTACCATCGTGGCGTCGTAGTTAAGTGCGTAAGCGATCCTGCGACGCCCCATTAAAACGGGGGAAAGTTTTGTTGGGTTTTAGTGGGTAGTACTGGCGTTTCGAGCCAGTAAATCCTACATAACAACCTGTATGTCTACAGGTGATATGCGTAAAGGCATTTCCCAACATAAAAGGTAAAAAAAAGGTTTAAGGGTCTAATCGTATAACTCATCGGAAAAACTAGGCAAAACTACTTTACCCTAGAATCGAGTTGTGTCAGTAACATACATTTAGTGCTTTACTGTGCGAAATCGTAAATTACTCATATGTAGTTTTATGACGAATATAGTATATTATGTAACCGGAAACTGGCATTTTAACAAAATAAAAAGCTAAATGAAATTTTGTGGATGGAAAATGTTTAGTTAAAAGTACATACATTGTTAGAATTGAACACAAAAGATATTGAATAAATATACAGGAACGGGCTCGTTTATACTATACAATATGTTATATAAGGTACATAATGAAAATTAAGTATGAACGGTTTATTATCTTTCATTCAATGATGAATTATACCGCTGTTATAATTCTAATTTTTATAAAAAATATTACTTTCCCAAATATTGCTGTATCAAATCAAGCCCGTGGCTATCTGGTTATTTTTTTATTTTAACTATGTATGTGGGGGGTTAAATGTATTTTGTTGAGTTTTTAATACTACCTTCGTATTTTTTGTGGAAATATAATTTAACCGTTGTTATCAGTGTCTCCCACTACGTCATTTGACTATAAATACACATGCACAGTGCACACTCTGTAGACGAACTAGAAGCGGCTCCGTGGCGAGCCCGGCACTTTGCTCATAAGTATTATGAATCGTCCGAGATACTTATCAAGTAATCTCTGTATCGTTATTACAATATTTTTGTCACTATAATAGTTGCTTTATGGCTTTATTGTTTTTATATTTTAAACTATAAAGTGTTATTTTGAAATTACTTTATTATAATAACACTAGCGACTTACCCTCGCTTCGCTCGGGCTCGTCCCTAGTTTGCTTCCCCATAGAGATGATTTCAGGGATAAAAACTATCCTATGGCCTTCCCAGAATCTCAAACTATCTTCTTACCAAATTTCATCTAAATCGGTTCAGTAGTGTCGGAGCTTATTCGGTACAAACAAAAAAACAAACAAATCCTCTTTATAATATTAAGTATAGATAAAATTTATCATTTTAGTATCAAAAATGAATTGAACAAAACTTACCGTAAATCCATCGCCCCCTCCCGCAATAAAGCTTTGCGATATAACTTTATACATTTTATTCGGATCTATAGGCTCATAGCGGGGCACATCGCAGTCAATACAGCGTATGGAAGCGCTGACTATTCTGTTGTTCATGGTTCGATTTCCGTCGAATACTGCTCGCAATCCTGTGTCCAGATACAGATTCGTTACAAGCAGATAGTAATGATTGTGAAGAGTTATAAATTTATCCATATATACGAAGGATAGTTAAAAATGAAATAGGTAATAAACAAAAGATTATTACATAAAAATATTTTATCGCCTCTACTGGTTACAGGATAACTGGCTCAGTTTTCGCTTAACGAATCGGCATTGCCATTCAGCGGGGGGATGCGGTTAGCATTCTTGCCACTATCCCGTAATAAGTAAGTGTACATTTGTGTTGTATATATAATTAATATATTTGTAATTTTCTTTATTGTAAATAAAAAGCTTAAATATTATTTTTTTGAACCTAGTACATTAACTGCGTAATTGAGATATCATAACATAGAAAATTGCTACTTCTGCCCATGTTCATGGGATCTATCGGCTAAAAGATTATATAGAAGATTTTTAAAGGGATAGATATACTAGGTATAAGGGAAGTGATATCTATCATTTAGTAAGAGCAATTTGTGTCTAGGTAACGTTTTTGGTATAATATGCGCCAACTTTAAAACTGTTGTTAAGTTTTTTGGTTATTGAACCAGTTTGAAATTTTACTTATAACCCGGACATCTATCAAGGTCGCCGGCAATTTTATAATTTGCACATTTATAGCTCTTTAATAAAGATGTTTTAAATTTTGGGATCTAACTTGGCTCTACGTGGCTTAATTATCTTCTTAACATAATCAATTATTGCATTAGGCAACATTTGGATAGAGAGAAAGAAAGAGCGAAGGAAGGAGATCTACAAATGAATAACAAATATGTACATACATAAGTACATAGACACATATATTGACATATACATTGATACATACAAACCTACATAAACACATTATACATATAAAATATGACACCATTTAGCAGTTTATAGGTTTTTCTTTTACCATAAATAAAAGTAATTGTGATAAACTCATTACCAAAATATAAATATAAATGTACGCATAAAACCTAAAACATCTAAGGGTGTTTAACAAATTGGCAGTAACAGAAGACGAGAGAAGAGAAACGACGAATAAGATTACAAACTTGCAAACTTGCTAGTAGTGTTCGAGTTGGCATACTAGGTGTGTAATGTGTCACCATTAGCTAAATAGTTTACAAGACCAAAAGTACTTGTACTGCCGTATGGCCGTGTCTATCGCTCCTTGAAGATATACTTTTCATTGATAATAAGGAAATAAAATATAATATAAGAGATGTATATTTATAATAACACTAGCGACTCACCCTCGCTCTGCTTGGGTTCGTCCCTAGTTACGTTTTAACGTTCAGTATAGATTTCCAGAGATAAGATATTTCCCCGCAGCAAAAAGTAAAAAATATACTATATGTTGATCCGAATAACTAGATATCATCATACCAAATTTCATCGAAATCTGTCTACTTCGATAAGATTTTCCAAAAAATTTGTAATGTACAGATTCTACTCAGTTACAATAGTTTTATTATAAGTATAGATTTATAGATGGGTCTCAAATGATTGATTCTAGGAGAATTATGATTTTAGATTTTCCTTTATGAATAGTTTATGTACATATGTCTATTTTTTGTGTGCTCTGTAACCACCTACGAATAATTATTTATTTGTAGGTAACGACGACGTTTTGCAAAATAATAATAAAAGAGACTTGAAAGAAAATTATAACATAAAAGAGTACCCAATTTCTATAATTAAGGCTCATAGAAGTAAAAGGAGAGAGATCTAATTATATTAATAATACTTAAAAAATCTATATAATCTATAATTTAGGTGATCCACTAAGTGACAATGAAATAAATTATAACAAACAGTGTTTACCTTTCACAAAATTGTAAAAAAAATTGAATGAAAAAAAAATTGGCACTGGCATTATATACCTTGCAAATTTAACATTTTAATAAATAAGAGTTACTATATTTATAAAATTCAAAACAATCATTTTATTATTTATTTTTTATCAAAAAAAAGTTGTGTTAAGAATTAAATTAACAATAAAACCTCGAAAAAAAACTATAAATTTTAATTTAACATGCCTAATACTCAGTTAATCTAAGAAAGCACTATAAGAGCTTTTAAGTCTTACCTGAAACTTGCACCATCCTAGCGCCGGGCCACGGGACGTTAGCTACAGCGTACTCCAGCGTGTCCAATATGTATTTCCCTTGTAAATCAAAAACTTCTACTCTATTCTCAAATGGAGTAGACAGTAGTAGACTTTCGAATGTTATATCTGTAAAATATATGTAATATACATTTGGCCAATACTTTTTATTTAGAAAAAATATCTATATAAATAAAAATGAATGTTCTTTTTTTGTATTTCTGTAACTGTGTGTAACTATTAATTCTTAGAAATGCACTAGAGCGAAAACAGTACCACAAGTAAGCTGTCAGATTGATAATATAATTATTTATAAGATTAGATAGCAAAATAATTATATTTACTTCCTGGTTCTATAGAGGTTCTGATGCCGCCTTGATTTATGAGACATATATGTGCGTAGCCCCATTGCTCGCCCACAGCTTTATCGATGACCTAAAAAGGATAAACATACATATCTTAAGCGATTTTATTTTACACTAGCATTGCCCGCGGCTATAACTTTCACTAATAGTAAAAATAAAATATTTATTAATTTCTCTCTAAGCTATTTAGAAGAACGCGTAAATCTAACAAAGTATTAATATCGGCTTAGATATTGAAATTTAATGAATAAACTCAAAAAATGTTAGGTAATTAAGTGAAAATTAAAAATAATGAAATTTCACTGTATGTTTGTTTGGAATATAATGAAAGTTTTTTTATATTTTTTACTTACTGCGTCAATAAAGGCATCGCATATAAAGCTACCAAGATTACACTCCTTGCAGGCACAGCTAGACTCCAAGTATACTTTAGAGACGCCTACTAATTCATTTGCTCTTTCACTTATAACTGGCAAGTACTCTTCTATTTTTTGAAGAACATCTGGAGCTAAAACATTTATCATTTTAAAACGACTTTTTTATTTAAAAACAATTTTTTAAGGAATAAAATATCAAACTAATTAAGAGAAATTTTCTAAATATCATAGAAGTTATTTAATTTTTTTAAATCTTCTTTCAGTTATTGAACATTTACGATATTTAGTAATATATTAGGTAAACCATTTTAACATTAATGAAACAGTTAATGAAACATTAATGAAAAAGTACATAAACACAGTTAGTGAAAAAGTTATTTAAGTAGGTACTTAAAATTATGAGCTTTTTACTCAACTTTTCCATTCAATATTACTAAGATCGACTGCCTCGTTGAATTAACGACTAGTGGTATAAAGCCTATAAGTACACGGATATCCTAAGTTCGAGTACCACTCGAATATATAATAACACTTGAGATATACGGTTCTTCGAATTTAAGTATTACTTACTCAAATGACATAATATGTATGTATTCCAGTATTTGGTAGAAGTATTAAATACATTATTTGTATATGAAGAATAAAATAATAAATAAATAAATAATTAAATATATAAGTATAAAATAATCTTGTCAATAATGGCACATACAAATAATAGTACTTTATTAATATTAAAGGTATTAGGTTTGAATAAGAGGTGTATTAAATTAAATCTTTATTAAGTTATTTTATACTTTTTAGTTTTTGAAGTCGGTTTTTTACACTTATTTTTATTAATCAATAGATTTTAGGGTTGCCTCATCTAAATTTCAAAAATAAAACCAGTCTTAAGAGCGGAATAAATATTTAAAATGATTTGATATTGATGTAATTTTATTAATAACCACCATGTATATTATTTATATCAACTGCCTTATTCGTACGAGTAAGAGAGTTTATAAGTTTGAATAAATATGTTGGGACATTAAGACACAACACCATCTAATTCCATAGTAAGGCTTGTGTTATGGATACCAGATAGTTGATATACTGTATAATTTTAAATACATAAATATTATCCATGACTGGAGTACAAACAATCGTGCTCATAAAACAAATGAATTCCCCCAGGGTATCAAACGTGCGACCGTTGGCACAGTAAGTACCAACTCAGTCAAACGTATAATTGTAATATCAAGAATGATAAAAATTTAATACATTTTCCCGTTACGAGCTCAATAGTGCACTATAATAATATCTCCATCTTGGATAACTAATCTTTGTTAGACTGACCATCGTCACTTCTCGAAATTTTTCTTATAAATATATTATTACCTTGTTCTACATCATTGTCAATGAAATGAGGATGTCCTTCCCAGCTTATTAAATCGCCCTGCTCATTGAAGTATAGTTTTATTTCTCCCAAAAATGCTGTGTGAGCGGCAGCTTGCACTATCAGTACCTAATAATAGTAATAATATTTTTATATTATACATACATGGAGTATGCATATTGTATATATTGCCTAATTAAAAAAATATTTTTTCACATAATTCTACAAGCTTCGACTTAAATAATTCAAAAGTTATTTTGAAATATGAGATTTATATAGTTATTCATTATATTGTCACTATTCACTCACTGATCTGTTTTCTTGCTCCACTATAGTTGGGTATGGGCCTTCGGAGCTGAAAGGTACGCCTTCCGGAGGGTCAGAATTGATTAGAAGAGAGTGGCTGTGTCCACCCACAACTATGTCTATGTATGGACCAGCGTGCAATGCTATTTGCCTGTAAGTAATGATTATTGTTACTAAAAAAGTAAGTTGAGCACTTTTTTACTCATAAAAGACTTATGCCCGATTTTACCTACAACCCATAAGCTACCACCTACGTATGGGATCCCTAGCTTAAAATTCCCCTAAACTAGCCCCTAAATTAAATTTCGTTTTACCATCGTCTTTAACCCCATATTCCGAGCACCTAAATTTAGGGGGCCTTCTAACATTTAGGTGACCCCTAACTGTCGGTGAAACAGAAACTGTCCCCTAACAGCCCCCTAACCACGCTTAGGGGATCCCTTAAACTTAGATAACGTTGGTAAAATCGGGCATTAGACGTCTTATCTAAAAAGCCGAGCATTTTCTCCTTCACTAGCGGTCCTTTAATTGTTTTATATCCTATTTTTATATATTAAATAAAATATCCTATAAATTCACAAGAAAAAATAAAAATAAACTAAAATTATACTTAAATCCATATTATTTAATATTATAAATGTGAAAGTTTGTCAGTAGGTAGGTAGTTTGTGTATAGGTGTTTCTTACTCTTTCAGCCAGAACGAATCTGGATGAAATTTAACACAGAGACAGATTAATATAGTCTGGAGTAACACATAGGTTACTCTTTATCCCGGAAAATGTTCGGTTCTTGTGGGATAGGTTTGTTTTTGTTTTCCCACCCCGCATGGTACACCGAAGTTCCGGATTACGTTTACGATTAAGAAGAACACAATATCGGAGGAGAGGGTGGGGTAGACGATTCTTGTCCTACTGCTAAGACCTTACTCACCTATCAATATCTAGTCCACAATGAGACAGAACTACTATAATGTCTACTCCTTGCTCATTCAGTTTTTCAGCTTCCCTTTTAACAGTTTCTACTTCATCAGTAAACTTAAGTTTTCCTGTCGACGCTAGTTCCTATAAATATATTAATTATTTATGTTTGAAACAAAAATATTTTTTTACGTTAATAATATAATATAATTATGAGTTTAACATTACCGCTTCAACTTATTAACTGGCGTGGTCGACAAAATGTGATAAAAGATTGTCATATTTAATGAAATTTTATCAATAAATGTAACTTTTAATTCATGTACATATTTGTCAATTGTATTGTATGAAAATATATGAAAAGATAAAATATTATATTCAAACGTTATGAAATTGTAAAAATATGTTTTAATTACTTTTTAGAATAATTAATTAAAACTTTCCAATTCTGCACACTAGCCTTTCTTCGATGCGCCTAATGTAGGTTAACGGACTTCATACGTTTTTTTGATAATTTATGTAGTTTCTCTGAGACATGAAGGTTTCCTCTCGGTGTTATTTTTTCATCGTATAACTAAGTAGTAATCATAATAAAAATAATCTTAAATATAATAAATTAATTTGCATGAAAAAACTTACATTAGTACTAGCTATTATTACACCAATAATTCCTATTCTTCGGCCTTTTTTTGTAACGATAATGCTGGGTTTGTATAAACCTTGTATGGTTGGCTCCTCATCATCAATAATGTTAGCAGTAACCACTGGAGATTTCAAGGTTTCAAGATATGGAACAACTCCATCAATGCCATTATCAAACTCATGGTTACCTAGCACCTGTTAGAGAATGAATATGAATTACTAATCTAATGACTGCAATGACTCGGTGGTGCAGTGGCTATCTTATATGGCTGTACATCTTATTGATCTAAAGCTTCTTATTATTTTGTTTATGGTAAAAGAAATTTAAAAGCTTAAGCGATAGAATGTGTATGAAAATCGAGTTATTTTTTAAATACTAATAAATATTAAAACCTTTTTATGTAAAATGAAACAAAAAGATATAATAATTATTTAACAGAGACAAAGCTCCTATAAACATAATTTTGGCAAGAAAATTAGTATATAAGCTAAAAGTCATTCAATACTTACATGAGCATCGTGATGCACCATATTCATAAAATCCTGAGTAGCGTTCCATCCCAGTAAGTTATACCAAATAGTACCTTGAAATGAGTCTCCTCCATTTAAAACTAAGGAATCAGGTTCTTTCACCAGGGCCTCGCGTATAAGAGTCGCTAAGCGAGCAAACCCTCCTATACATGGTGCTACAGAAGGATTACAAACTCCACCTGACAAGCTCGTTTCTACAAATCTGAAATGATAAAAACAGCCCGGTCAAAGTAGACATGCCAAATAACAAAAACTCCGACCGAGCGATTTATTTCTACTGATGAACCCAAGTTCTCTACCAAAATTCAGTTCTGTCAGAGTTTTTGTGATTTGATCACTATTTTTATGTCTAATTTGATCGGACTCAAAATATTAAACTTTTCTGACATATCTAGTTCTTGTCTGCGACTTTGCATGTCCTTAAATATAGGTAATATAACCAAATGGCATACTGTAAAGGACTGTATTGTATACTATGATAATGAAATAATATGTTTATGCTTATAACATTGAAGATTACTAGTCCAAATAGTTTACTATGTTTATATGACTTAGTTAAAAAACTTTCTTTAAAATCTAAAAGCAACTATATCTTCTTTAATAGGAAAATATATATACAATATATCATAGCAGATAGTTATACTAAATAACCACAGATCATATAATACTATACTATACTTCTTCGGTCTATTTTTGTTTGTTTAGATAGATAATAGATGTCATTGATTCGCAAATAGTTAAACTTTTATTTTATAATTAGAGGAGGAGGTGGAAATCAATACTATATTTGCCATTATAATATATTGATTTCTATAATTTTGTACAGTGTACGTCACTAAAGAATCAAGTAGCGCTTTTCTGTTTTCTCGCCTTACTAATAGTCTATATTCTTGCAAGTGCTAAGAAGAGAAATGAATATCATAACAGCAAAAACGGCATTCAAATTCATTTAGAAATTTTTGAGATTGTCCTTCTATTAAAATGATTACTATACTTTTCTTTTTAGTAAGCCGAAAATTTCTGAAGTTATTAAGATTATTTGTAATGTTTTAAATGTTAGCTGTATTTATATATATATATATATATATATATATATATATATATATATATAAAACAACTGCACACTTAATTATTACTGTACAAATCATATCCGCTTGGAGTAGTAGCAAGAATACTAGCAGCATTCCACGCTGAATGGCAATGCCGATTCTTTGGGCGAAAAACGAGACAGCACTCTTGTCACCATTAGAAGATAAGACAAGGTATCATGTTTTTTAAGAAGCATTTAGCGCTTCGATTCCATGGGCTAAGAGAACCTACAACAAATATATAATTTTGACTCAGGGAGGCGTATTTACGCAACTTCAGTGGTCCCGCCTTTTCCGCCACAGCTCCTACATTAGACACCGTCTCCCTGACATGGGACGAGGCCAATGTGTCAACGTATGTAGTGTCCCACTATAGGGCCCGTCCCTTTTCCCAATTAATCAATTACAATTTAAGAAACAAAATAACTCTACCTAGAGAATTAATCTGACATATTCATTAGATGAATATTAATCTATACATATAAAATTGTAACTAAGGCGAATCTGTATATTAAATTTTTTTTTGGAAAATCTAATTGAAATATCTACGTATCTATAGCTTTTAGAATTTTTGTCTGTCTGTCTGTCGGTTACCGCATCACGAGAAAACCACTGGACAGATTTTGATGAAATTTGGTGATACGATAGCTGGGTTTCCGGGTCAACATATAGGATACTTTTTACCACGGGAAAATATCTTATTTCTGAGAAAAAATACATAAACTACAAAGTAAGAGTATACTAATATGTAAAACCTAAGAATTTGGTTTTTAGTCATCTGAACGCGGGCGGAGCCACGGGCAATGCTAGTCTAACATAATATGTATATGCAACAGAGGGCTTTTAATGCAATAAATGAAAAGTGATAAGTCTCTCATAATTATTATCAAAGATTACACAGATACGATCCAATTATAAGTTAAGTATTGATACGTCATATCTTGATCGACATTATTATATGTATATGACCAAAATTAAGATTAAGTTTATCATTCTTTAGTAGTCAAGATTACACTATCTTATCGACATTCTAGTTTTTTACAATAGAAAACTCTTATTTTTTTTTTTTACTATCTATACATATAATAAAATTCTAACTGAAGCGAATCTATACATTAAATATTTTTTTGAAAAATCTTATTGAAATAGTCATTATACACAGGCCTAATCAATAGTTTTCAGAATTTTTTCTGTCTATCTGTCTGTTTGTCTGGGAACGCATCACGAGAAAACCACTGGACAGATTTTGATGAAATTTGGTATGACGACAGCTGGTTATCCGGGTCAACATATAAAATACTTTTTACTGCGGGTAAATATCTCATTTCTCTTTATTAAATAGCAAATAGAAACCTATACTAAAAGTTAAAACGTAATAAGAGATGAACGCGACGAAACCCAAATTAGAGTTACGTGTGTGACTTCTACTATGTCCGATCCTTTGCCCGCGTAATTACTTAACGGCTTCTCCGATTTTGATGATTTATACATCGTAAGATTCATCTTGATAACCCGGGTACCTATATACATTTTATTAAAAACCAAAATAGCGAATTTAGCCTCTAATTTGTGTTTCTAATTTTTTTTAACCAAAAAGGTACACCATAGCATAGGCATATTTATTAAACAGTGAAAATTTCTCGAAATAAATATGGAGAGTCCCATTCCGAATCCATTAATATACCATACATACATAATATATAGTCCCATAATATCAAATAAAACCCTTAATAAATGAAATAATTTTTGTACTTTAAAATTAACTTTGAAACTCGTGTATTTTTAGTCTAAAAGTAAATATTAGCTACAATGCCTTAGGGAACGTACATTTAATTAGCGACTTCATGAGAATAAAATAGTTATTTTCGTAAGAAAATGTAAACAAACATCAGCAAAGTAAATATTTAATATAAATTATAACACTAGGTTTTGTTTCCTTTAGTAGAAATAGAAATATAACATTATGATATATTAATTATTATTAGGAACACGAAATCAGGGTTAGAATGTCATTATCCATTTACCACATTTGGTTAAGATAATCAAATATTACTATTATATGATGATAAATATCAATACATTACTTTAATAATACTTAAAATTAGTATTTATCAAGACAATTTTTTCACAAAATTAAGTAATTTTAAAAAGTATTTATTTATTCCCTAGATTAGACCTATTAATAATCGAGCGTAGTTATTAGTTTTCTTCTACTTATTTTAATTTTAGAAGCCACTGTACAAAATAATTTAATTGAATTTTAATTAGTTCAATTCAATTCATTTCTTTTGTTTAGTGGCTTCTAGGAGTGCCAGTTGGCCACAATTATTTACTTCGCCAATGTCCCGTACATTTTAAATAGAGACAGTGCGTATGTTAAAATATTAACAATTCATGTTTTCACTTAACGCCTTTATGCCTTCTTGTTAAATAAGCTTTTATTTCAAAATAAATAATAAATAATATTATGTAAGGTACTTAAAAAATTTGCGTTGCAGCATTTTAACAAAAGTTTGGAAATATTGTTTTTCGGTACACAGTGTTTTAGACACATTGGTATTTGCCAATGAACTCTTACGTGATACATGACATATTATAAAGGTTGTTTTAAGAAAGGTTTTCATTATTTTGAAGGACATAGAAAGATGTATTCGTAGATCAAGCCTTCTATAGGACTTTTGTATGAACTCAAATATCATTATAAACTCCATCAATATTTGGGTAGCTAATTGTATATAATTTTAAACTTTACCTTGCATGAAAATCATTGTAATGCACAATATTTAACTCATATAACTCAGCACTGACTGTCGTTAACACACATAGAACTAGTAGCGTCTTAATACACTTCATATTGAAAGTATACGCGTGTTTGAATGGACTAATGCGACGATAATATTATAATATATAGACTGATAAGATATAAAATATCTTCTTTATGGAGCTATTTTGTGCGAATATATAAAACTAATTGTGATAAACCGCAATATAAGTCAGTCTTTTTAAAATGTAATGCCTATTAGGCAAATTGTAATTAAAAGATGAAATATATTACGAAAAACTATTTAGTTCGCGATAGAAATCCTAATATTATTATAGTTTATAAGAAAAATTGTGAAGATTTTTGGATTATTGGTATTTTATTATACCTATGTAAATTATTAACTAGAATGCTAATCACATACATATGTACATAAACAATGACGAGCTCATAGATAAGATAATTTTATCTGGTTCTCAGGTGTTTTTTATAATAAAAAATCATGTGTAGTACAAAACTTTTTTTTTTTAAAATAATATTTTTCAAGGTGATTCAAATGAGGAAGTACGTCGTAAGAGGCCGGAACTACTCAAGTAAATACATACGTATCTATACAGATAAGTAAAATTGAAGTGTCTGTTTATAAGGTCAAAATAACAGCATTTTACTAAATGCGTATGAAATTATATACGGTACTTATGTATACCTATGCGGTACTTATAAAAAATAGCATTTAAATTTTTTGTTGTTCCATGTTCCAGCTAATCTCCGAAACGGCTGGACCGATTTTGACGGGACTTTCATAGACATATATCCGATATTATTAGGAGTAACTTAGGCAACTTTTATTTTAGAAAAGCAACCCTATTCCGCGCAAAAAAATTAAAACTCATGAAATTGTGAACAAAATCTGCGTATCCAGGGATGCACGCGAGCAAACTGAGGGTAAGTCGGTAGTTAAATATGATAATGATAGTGATAATTAAAAAACTTGCAACATGTTTTTTAATAAGATGTTTGCAGGCCACGATAAAACATTATTAAGTTTGATAGCTCAGCTTCCTTCTAACGTAGCAAGTTGATTTATCGGCATCCTTGGTTTGCAATTTTCATTAAAGAATAACAATTTCCTTTAAGCAAATATTTATTTAAAACAGCAAACACAACTATACTCATTTTTACTTACTTATCCTAAGCGATACTTTATTTAATTTGTATCGTAATTCCTTAATTAAAACGATAATCTATACATATAATAAAGTTCTGAGTCGAATCCGTACATTAAATATTTCTTGGAAAAGCTTATTAAAATAGTCATTATTATCAATTCAGAAGCCGAATCGAATTTTTGTCTGTCTGTATGTCTATACTAATATTATAAATGTGAAAGTGTGTTTGTTTGTTTTTTTTTGTTTGTCCTTCTTTCACGTCGAAACGGAGTGACGGATTGGCGTAATTTTTTGTGTGGAGATAGTTTAAGCGCTGGAGACTAACATAGGCTACTTTTTACCGCGGGAACTTATCTATTTCCCACGGGAAAATACTTTATAATACAATCCAAAAAAAGTTGATATAGTTGCAAGAAAATTGAGACTTACAGTTGTGCAGAAATTTCATCTAAAGCTCAAATTGATCGCTAATATTCCAAAAGTCACTTCGAATAACGACGACACGAGACGTTCCAACGCATTCAGTAAAATTTGCACATAGTATTTTGCATTTTTATTGCCTAGAATAAAGTAGTAATAGGCAATTCACCCTCAGATATTCCTCACTGGCAATAGTCCAATGACGAGTGCTGGAGATAAGAACTTTAGTGGGACTTACTTATCATGTGGAGATCCCTTTTATTGCCTCTTCTTGCCAACAACTTTACAATTTAGATTTATTATAAAAAGGTTCATTTTCTTTTTCTTTCTTTTTTAACTTTTTTTCAAATATACGTTTTTTTCAAGTATGCAGTATAACTATTCAAAGATGAGTGTATAATAATACAAGTCGACGAAGTAAACTCTCACAACCATTTTCTTTTCTTTTGCCATCATTATTCAAAAAGCCACAATAATCAGTCTGTGCGGAAGTTGCCGCTGGATGGGAATGCAGTTCTATAATAATACATTTTTTATTATAATATAGTGTAGGGTCCATAATAAAACTTTGAGATATTCCTTGCTTATATTCTTATATTCAGTACTTTTATAAATGTCAGTGAATTACATAATTTATAATCATAATTTTCAGTATTACAAACAATTCGTAGTGACCTACAGGTTGGTACCGACCTCTCTGAGCAAAAGCGTTAGAAAACAAATGAATATCCGCGCCCTTTTTTATTTTTTTTTAAACACATTACTAGCGGCCAAGGTCACATAAGTAAATGCCTTATACATAAATCATTACAAATTAATCAAATATATTATTTTCTATTAAAACAATATATAAAAATGCAACCTTACAATAATAAACTAAAATATCGATCAAAAAAGTACTAAATACACAAACAGCGACAAAGAATGTCTTCACCGAATGAGCGCCCACTTGGACATTTGAGTGCGCTTTTAATTTAGTAGCAAACAACTTTAAGCATTGCATTAAAGGTTCAATTTACATTGTTGTATATTTATTTCAACTGGAATAATTACATAAACAAAATTGGTGACAGTTTTAAGATAACTTTTTCATGGATTGTGTATCTAATACTTTTTTCATCGATGATAGAAACAATAATATTTAATAAAAATAAATGTAATATATGTTAAAATTTTAAAGAGATTCTAAGACATTGAGTGATTCATTCGTGAAAACTTTGATTGATGATCTAAGATAGATATAAAAAAGCAGTCATGAGGACTGCCAGACTGACTGACAGAAGTAAAAACTTAAAACTATAAACAGTTGTTATTTCTGAATATTCAAATTAATTATTTGATCTTACATTCAAATTTATAAATTAAAACTGTTTACATCTCTCTAGTTTTGATATCTATCGACACTTTGAGTCAACAACACGTCACGTGATCTTGTCGATGACGACTTACATGAATTTGCTCTCCATCCAAATCTACCTATAGAATTTTTCACTTACAAAAATTTTCTTACATTAAAAACGCGAAATGGGTCTTAAGTATTTACATAGAAATAGTATAATCCCTCCACGACCGCGGACACTCCGGCGTGTCAGTTAACAATAGATTTCTTAGAAATTTAATTAATTTCTTAGAAATTTGCCTGGAGTTTCCAATCTTTACCAAATAACAGTATTTTTAGGATGCAGTTTTGAGTTTTAATTTACTTAGTTACTACACTCGCATTAAATGGAACAAATAGGTACGAACAAACATACACATTACACACTATATAAATATAGTACTAGGCAATACCAAGAACTCATTATATTCTTAAAATTATTCGAAAAGTAACATATGTCAACATTAAAAAAGTAAAAGTAAAAACTAGCACCTTCGAAAGGCATTAATAAAATTATAGTAATTATATTATAAATTAAGCAAACTACATTAAGCTATCGCATACAGCAGCTTCGAGAGAGTAATCCCACTTTCAAAGTTGAACCGTTCTTGAGATTCTTCGGTCGTGTTCACACAGTCAATAGACCTCAAACTTTTCCCGTTATCGCCCTCGCTCCCCCACAAACTTTGTGGTATGAACACGACTTTATATTGTTTCGCAAAGTAATCGATGTAAAGAATATTGTTTCGTGTTTCTTTTTCCTGTCACTTTCTTTTCTTGTAATGATGTTAACATTTATTTCATAACTATATGTATACTACGGGTTCTGTTAAGCATTTTATTTTAAAATTTGTGATAACACGATGATGGATGATATGGGTTTGCAACTGGTATAGTATAGTACGTTAAAGGTAGCGGATTCGATTGTTTATACGTACACCGACTGCATTTCCATATGCATACTACGTAATACGTTCAAATGGAAATAATGATAAACTATAAAATTGTAGAGGGTTATTATTTATACCCTGTTATTTTCATATAATACTAGTACTAGTCACAATCTCACTAATATAATTAATGTGAAAGTTTATATGGATGTTTGGATGTATATTACTCAATCTCGCCAGAACAGCTGAACAGGCCTGAATGAAATTTGGCACAGAGATAGATTATAGTCTAGAATAGTACAAAGTTCCCTTTGGATAGATTTGTTTTTGTTACTATAGAGGCAAACCCGTGCGAAGCGAGGGTGGGCCGCTAGTTTTATATGAATAGAAAAATGAACCTCATCATAAAGTATCCTTACGCAAAACTTAAAGTTGATCCGCCACTACGTAGAGATGAAGCGATTTCAATGCGGAAGAGGCACACACAACCAACAAAATAACAGGTATTCACCACCATCCCCCTTTACGTTCTTCAAATGGTGCTCAGATTTGAATATTCGAATTCGTTCTAAGTAGCCTTTAGGCTATCCCCACGCTATATATATTTTCGTACACCTTACGCCATACCATTATTCTTTCAGATAGCTAAAAAGTGCGATAGTAACATATTAAATGTATGCAAATGCAGTCACAGACAATGACTAGTATCAGCTATTCCCAGCGGATACCGATAAGGAAGGTTAAAGTGGTTCCATATTTTTTCCCGATTGTCATCTCAAATGCATGCAACTTCGTGCGATAATCAAGTTAGTTTTAAATAAAAAGCAATCTATTTTTGAAAGCTAACGATATTTGTATTTAAAGCAAATTTTTCTATTCTAAATTGTACTATAAAAATGAAAAAATCTTCTATGTATGAGTTTATTTTTTACTTATACATATTATATATGTTGGAACGGTTGGACTGCTGTGACCGGGAGTAACATCTAGGGACCCGAGCGAAGCGAGAAAAAGTTACTTATATCTATTCAGCCTTTTTTTAACATCCTACTGCTGGACATGGGCCTTCCTTTAATACAAGGGGGATCAGGATACCACTACACTGGCCAAGTGCGGGTAGGCGGAATTCACATGGCCTTGGAAAACTTGCTACGCTTCATGCAAGGTAATAGCGGTCGCCGGATAGTATGTTATTAACTAAATATTAAGTATCATCGTGGTTTTACCAGCTATAA